CCTGTCGAAAGAATTTTCACTTTCACTCACAAAAATTCAATTTATTTCAAGTAAAATGTACATTCAAACATAAAATCAAATTTCAAAATATGACAACTTCAGAAATTCAAATTTTTAAATTTCAACTTCAAAATTTATGCTCAAATTAACAGGAATATCATGCATGACACTTTATAGTTCTCGTGATTCTAACATTTTGGTGGTTTGAATTTCCAAACAAGTTTACTTTGAATTACGAGTGTGAGCCAATCTTAAATGACCTCATTCAAGGAAATACTTACGGTTTGAGGTGTGTCGATGACAATGTCTTTAAAAATATTTCACTTGATTTAAGTACATATTCTTGAATTTAACAAGCTCTTCTATATAAAATATGAGTGAAAATATTTAATTAGAACTAAATCCAATACATTTATAGAATATATGGGAGAAGAAATGAATCTTCATCTTTACTCTCATTAGGAGAAAAAACTACCATAAATTACATACATAATTATAAAGCCAAATACAGACCAGATGATGTGACACATCTCTTGGCATAGAAAATTACTACTATCTTTTATATTACATTTTTTTGAATTTTTTACTTCATTATTTTGATTAATCAATTCATTTGATAATTATAAAAAAATCTTACACCTAAATAAATCTCATGAGTTATATAAAAAAACATATACCTTTGTATTCTCACTTAATTAACTACATGTCATCTTAATTCCCTTCTATCTTATTCTTGTATCAAACTATAAATATCAATTATGTATGGAGTTGTTGGATAGTTATTTTCATTTTCTCCTTTTTAATAAGTATCTTTTTTCCTTTATTTTTCAACGCTAATGTATTTAGTAATTAATAGAAAGGACATAAAAAAAGGTTACGTGAAAATATGGCCATAACTTAGATGAGTATTGAGTTTGAAATGAACATGATAAGCGAATACATTTTCTTCCTTGGAATACAAATTAAGCAAACACCTACTGATTTCTAAGGGGCAGAGTAGCCTTTCTAAATCAGAAGAAAGGTGAAATTGTTGAAACAGGTACAGTTGAAATTTTCTCAGGCTTCGGAGGTAACAAAATTTGAATCTCACTTTTTGACATATAAAATGTATATGTTGATGAATCAAGGTCCTTGTTGTAGAATTTTCAGCAAGTTTTCCTCTTTATTAAACTTTGTTATATAATAGTCGTGAGCTAAATTAGTGAAGATGCGCCCAATCCCTTGCTTCTTTCTCTCACTTAAAATTAGACTCACCAAGGTAGTTAATAGTTTTAGTTTTCTTGAAGTGCGTGATTTGACGGTCTTTTTCAATCACTCTCCACAACATAATCAATGTCTCTTTTAGATAGTTGAGGTTATTCTTTTTTTCCTATTTAATGGAATGAGTCAATAGTTTATAGATTCTTCTTTTTTCTTGATTGGATAATAATTAATAATACGTGGTCACCTTCTTCATCCTCTTGTAATAGTTTCTTATATTTTTGTTGTTCATCCTTATTGAGGCATGAGTGCTAGCTGTTCATCCATCTTGAAGGAGACAGGGAGGAATTCGTATGTTTTGAAAGACTTCTTCCTCTCTTCTTGTCCCTCAATCCTGGCTTAATTATAATCCCCCTTTATCAGGTGGGGCTAGTGGATTTAGGTCTCGAGAAATAGAACGCGACAACTATTTTAAGACGGACGCAATATTAAACTAAGTGATAAGGTAGATTTTCTCTCTCTTTTCTTCCATTATGACTTATAACGGTTCACAAAGCTGCAAAATAGTAATTAATTTGCTTTAAGTAAGTGACGATTAGAAAAAAAAGATTTAAACATATATATGCCAAACCATCCAAGAGTTACATTCCATAACGTTTACAAAATAAAATGTTTACTTGAGCACTTGTTGAATACATATACTTGCAATTATAAGAAGATAATTTATGCAAAAAAGCTATCTGAAATTTGATACCCTAGCAAATTAAGTACAAGTAGCATCTTAATAAGACAAACTAAAATAGCCAAAATGCAATCAAAAAACTTGTATCTAATTTATTGCAAGCAAAGGGGTGTTGGGATCTTCTGAACCTGCAAAACATTTTCAATGGGGCCCTGAATCAACTTGAAGCGACAAGTTTCACCATTAGCTATTTTGTTATCTTTTCGAAAGGCAGTCCATCCTTCTTTTATGATAACCATACTCCTAGCATACTCTATTTCCACTTTCCATTATACTCCTTCTTCATTAACCAACCTCATATTCTTCATGTTTATTATGTCTGTTTGTTGGGCGAATCTCAACGGGATAGCCTAAAAAACATATTCATCAAACAAACAGGATTATTAGATTTTCATGGAAATAACTAGAATGTGCAAACTTAGCGAATTTAAAAACACAATGTAAAACTATTAAACCTTACCATACAAGTAGCATGTGACTTTTTTATAACCATTTCAAAAAACGGATTGTCACCAGTTAAGTCCACCAAACTGTATCGACTGCTATAATTATTTGGACCAACTTTTTCACTTATACTATTAGCTTCTCCAACCTCCTTATCTACAACAGCTTGACATAAGTATAACAATTAGTACAATATTCTACTAATAAATTCACTTAATTAATGGCTAATAAAGCACTTAAGATGTTTACTTATGTTGCTCAATTACATTAGCATTAGTTTGAGGGCAATTAACTGGAATATGTTCCTCTTCATCCTCGATTACATTAGCGTTAGATTGGAGAATTGGAATATCTTCTTCGATTACATTAGCATTAGATTGGAGAATTAGAATATCTTCTTCGATGATATTAGCATTAGCTTGGGAAAATAGAATATCTTCCTCTTGTTCATCTGATTCAATATCTTGATCTATTGGATATTCAATTTCTGTTTTACTCTGATCATATATAGCGACAGAAAACTGACAACGCGGGTTGTACGTGAACATTAATACGCTCTTGACTCTTATTGAGTAATAGTCACAAAAATCACTCCATCCCTTGGCTAGCCAAATTTGGCCTTGAGAATTTTCCAC